CTGCACTGAATACAATGTGCACACACTTTAACACAGCCTGCAGACACCAGTCATTACTGCGAACATGTGACTTTATTTTACACAACCAAATAATTAAAATCTCATTCCACATGTTGCCTTTTCAGTCAAAGATGGCGAAAGCTGCAAAAGCAACATTTGTGTTTGAGTGATTTCACTAGATGGTGAAATAACAGCTTATTTATTCCAAAAGTAAATGTTAAGCTGCAAATCAAAAGTTGAGTAATTCTCTAGTAGCAACAAGTGCCTCCAATTTCCTTCTGTATTTTATTGGTTCTTCTCAACTTAGTGGCACATGACACTTTGCTGAAGTTAGCAATTCGTCTATGATAAACCAACACGACACCAGGTTTGATGGTTGAGCGAGTAGTGTGCTAAAATAGGACGAGGTTTGTTTAATGAGTGTCCTTCAGCCCTGTCAGGTCTTTCGCTTCCATTCATGTGCGTCATCCACTGTAAATGAATGAACGGGGGGTAGGACACATGAATGGCATATTCTGACCAGGCATTTGTTGGCTTTACAGTAAACAAAGTAGGTCACTCCGGGCAAGTTGGGTGATAATGGTTCACTGAGAATGGCCTGGAAATCATAGGCATGTCAGCACAGTGTATGAGGTCACTACTGTAATTTTTACAGAGCTAAACACCACTTCAGAATGCAAAAAAAGGAAGGAGGAAAGGCAGGGGACTGAAAACAATTAAAGATTCATATATTGATGGAGAGTTTGCATCATGTACAGGAATAGTTTTGTTGAAGAAAGTAAGTGTTTTTACTTTCTGGCAGAGAGTTAGAGGACAAGATTGATACCACTCACTCGTAAATACCAAGCGGCAACCTTCCCGGCTAAAAAATGAAGCGATGTCTTGGTGCCAAAGGCTGCAGTTCCTCCAATGGCCACTTGAGGCTGGCTCTAAAAGCGAGTCAGTCGTCAAAGACCCCGTGTTAAAATGCCCACCTTTACAGCAGACACAAACATGTTTACAGCACATACAAAAACAGGTTTTGGTTTCGATAGCTGATTTTACTGTTCACAACTCTACGGGGGTTAATTTAGATATAACTCATCCATTAAAATGTTAGGCTTACAGTAGGCTTACAGTTATATAATTAAGGGCGTGGCCACTGTGAGTGACAGATGGGTGCCGTCTGTTGACAAGTTGTTACCGTAGCGACTGTGTTGGTTTGGTAACGTAACCATGGTGTAATCCCAGATTGACAGAGCGTAGGTGTAGGTGTAGCTGTCAGTATCTGCGTTTTCAGGTCATAAAAATTAATTGTAACATTTTGGTCACCAAAACATTTTTGTTCTTTTTCTGGTACATTGTTTTAATGGCTCATGAAGATCAGCATCCGTATTAGTATTATCACAATTAACCGACTGACTGTAAAGGCACCATCCTAACCTAGCTAGAAGCTAGCGTTGGGGTTCTCTCTACCCTCACGTCCATATATGGTCACTTCTGGCTACAAAAATCCAACATGGCCACAATCTGAATGCCAAACTCATGGCTTCAAAAATGGAGTCCACAAACCAGTGGATGAAGTCAAAGTGGCTATGTTCATTATTTTATTCAGTCTATGGTCAGTTCAGTAAACATAAAGTTAGCTTAGCATGGCACAAAGGAAAAAGGTGAGCTAGCTTGGCTCCGTCTGTAGGTGGTAAAATCTGCCTACAAACAGATTTAATAACAGACAATTTGGGAAAAAAAGTGGAGGATTACTGTGTAGCTCTATTTTCCTTTCCCTTTTGTCTTCCCAATCAGAATTCTAATCACTGTCCTCTCACACACTGCCGTCCAATCCAAATCCCTCTGTGCTCTATATATAAAGTGATCCCTCTGTACCTGCCCCAAGTCTGTCACAGTGCTGGAGGTCCAACAAGGGTGAGCGGAGTTTGATTTCAGACCCAATTAGCCTGGAGGTATTTGAGTGGTGGTGGTGGTGATGCTGGTGGTGATGCTGGTGGGGGGTTTTGGAGGGTGGGATAGGGTTAAATTAGATTTGCTCTTCCTGTCCAGCACAATGGCTCCACTGTGGTTCACAAAAGAACTTCAACCAACCTAATGTAAATTTGCACAAATTTTTCTGCCACACACACTAAACCAATTTACTTTGATTTAACCTGGTTTAAAACCGAAGGATGAATTTGTCAGAGGAACACTTTACTATTTTACATGAATCAAAAATGTTGCAAAGCATTCACACACTTTATTAAAAGGCAACGAGAGTCCTTTTCTTCCTTAACGGTGAAAGAATATTCAGAACTTGAAGGAGACAGATGAGAAGATTAATATATTGGACAAAGCCAGGCGAGCCGTTTCTATCTGTACCCTGTCTTTATGCTAAGCTACCATCATTGCCTTCTGGCTTTAGACATGAGAATGGTATTGATAGTCTCATCTAAGTTTCAGAAAGAAAGCTAAAAGACATGACTTCCAGTCTTTCGATTGTTTAATTTAATCGTCTGCTTTGCTGAATTTGTAATTTAGCTTCACATGTAGTTTACTTGCAGTTTATACCGTCCAGCAAGAGCAGCAAAACAGCAAGTTTAAACATTCAAACTACACTTAAATGTCTTTCCTTCCCGAAGAGGGGTAAGTGTTTTGCATTTTGTCATTTTGTGTGTGTGTGTGTGTGTGTGTTGCAGGACCCATCCCTATTCCCACATCTCTGCCTGTCCTCCATATCAAAGGGCCAGGAGTCGTCGCCTCCATCTGACGCAACTAACACCTCAGATACTTGACTCTGTAATGGCAGGTCATAAAACACACACACACACACACACACACACACACTAGGCAGACTATCTGGCTGACTGGCCTGCAGGGACGGGAAAGATACACACAAACAAACACACACACACTCACACTCATAGTGACCTGTATATACACAAACACGCAGTAACGTTGTTTTTCCACTGGCACAGTGTTGAACTATATAGCTATAGCTATGGTGTGGAAAAGCGTGCCAGGCTATTTGAATTCTATTTCCTTGGCCCTCAAAGAGCAGAGCATTAATGTGCTGACCTGAGATATTATGCAGGTCACCAAGCAAAAGGGATCACTACCGGAACCCCACGTCTCTGCCATGGTCGACCAGAACTCTACCACTTCAGACCCACGCTACCGAGCTGTTGAAAACACTTTCCTAAATATGACTTGTAGCAGAATTTATTTTGGGGCTAACAACAGTAAAAAAAAAACATTCAAATATCTTTACCATTTACTCTAACATAACTCATTAGTGCAGTGACACAGAGCGAAACACTTAGAAATGTTCTCCTAGAGACAGCAGTACGAGCACTCATACAACTATGACTTCATTAAATGCCATAGCTCTCCAAGTACCAAAATGTCCTCCCAGCTCCATGTCGTGTATTTAATTTTAGAAACATCACTTAAGTTTAAGCACTCAAAGTAGAAAGATGACATATTTTTCCAATTGAAGGCTTTTGTTTTTTTATAGTCAGTGGGATATGATTTCTTTTGGGTTTTTCTGTTGTTTTTCATTTACATGAGGAATTCAACTTTTTTGGCCCGAGTCACTCATTCATTTGATACAACATTACCAATTTACCATCCCATTTCATCTCGCTACATTCCTGCTGTGCGTACGACATATGTTAAAATAGAGCAGGAATTCAGGGCAGTTTTCATGAATTTCCACGAAAGCAGGTTTTGAGCAGGCCTGGCTGGAGAGTGAAGTCACATGCTCACATTCATTTTCCCGCAGTGAAGACACAGTGCATCCAGGAGGAAATGTGTGTCAGTTTACGGTAAGTAACCCCCCCCCCCCACACACACACACAGATGAAACTGTAATCTCCAAATGAGCAATGAATATAGATGGACAAAGGAGGATCCCCCCACTCTGTTCGCCACACATAAGGACACCCACTCTGCAATTATGCCTATTGTGTTTCTTTCCTGTTGTAGAGAAAACCTCTCCGTCTTAGTCATGCTGTTGAGCTCCTATCTGATTTTTAGCTGACAGCTTATCTGACCCCGTCTGGCCTTATGTACATAAACACATAATAGAACACACACACAGTAAAATCCTGGTATCAACACACTTTCAGGAATCTTAATTGGTTTCCTGGACCTTCAAGTCATGAATCACGCTCTGCCTTTAAGGAAAAGTAACACGTAAAATGTGGCCACCAAAAAAGAAAAGTGCATTTCAGCTTTTAGCTAAAATAACTACTGGACTACATGACTTTGCCCTCCCATCCATGAACAGCGTTGTCATGAGGGGCTGCGGAGACTTCTGCTGAGATGTTTTGCCGTCTCGTGTTACGTTATGAGATACTATCAGTGGGGACAGACACAATAAGGGTGGCTCCTAGAGGAAAAGCTGGGAAAATACAGGAAGTTGAGTGTTGTGGGGAGAGGAAGTCACACTATGACTGTTTGTGAGGGGCACTTGAGAGCTGGCAGCTGTCAGTCCTCTGATCGTGTGAGTGTGTGTGAGAGAGAATTACTATGGGGGTAAGACTGTCATTAGTGTGTGTATACGTGAGGTATTTGTGAGCGAATCGGTTTGCCTGTCATCTTACAATTTCAAGAAAGCAGACCTCAGACATTCACCAAACAATGATGCATAACCACACGCACACACACACCAACACACACTTTTCACTTTGCGTCCCAACTAGAATTAGCGCTCTTCATTCCAGGAATACTCCCCAACCCTTAGCACGAAATGATGTCATCAACTCTTTTAAACAACATGTGTTTGCGGTGTTTTTATGTGTGTGTGTGTCTCTATGTTTTTACATGTAAGTGTGTGTGTATATTTCAGTAATTGTCACTGTTGTCTTATGCTGCTTTGGTATGTTTGTGTCCAAGCGAGCGAGCACGTAAATCTCAAGTAAGCAAACGTGTATATCGTGTGTGTAACCCTGGTTGTGTTTGTGTGCTGAGCAGGTATGGCATATTAGTTAGTGTGTAATAATTGTGAGTGTGTGTGTTTGAGTGTGTACCTGTACTGAGCAGAGGCGCTGGTACATTGGAGATGAAGTCAGAGGCTGAATCTCGGACGTCCTGGTCTTCATCCTGCAGCAGCGTAAACAGACTCCTCCACAGAGAAACTGTTGTGGACAGACCTGACAAACACACACACACACACACACACACACACAGATTCTAACTTGAGGCATTTGACATCCAGGATCCAAGATTTCTGAAAGATTTTTGCTTTATTCCCTGCAACATATTTCTGTTCGAATCAAAGCATTTATCTTGTCTGCCTGGGATGTAAACATCTCCTCATTTCCTCCATAATTGAGACTTACCCAATGGCAGATGGGGGCTGGTCAGTACAGTTCCTGTGCAGTTGACCAACACCTTGGCAGCCATCAGCTTCACCTCCACTGGCTGCTCCTCGCTGCAGCATGAGCACACCAGCGCCCCCCACTGAGCCAAACAAGTCACTGCATTCGCTCCCTAAATGTATGGATTGATCAGAAAAGTACAAACTTGTATAAGTTTAAAGAGCAAATCAATTAGTCGGCAATGTTACTTTAGTTGCGTAGAATGATCTGGATGAGTGTCCAGTATCTCCATTAGGTGACTGGTTTTGAAAAGGTGACAACTTGCCCCACAGTGAGGGCAGTAAGCAGTATACTAAGCTATCAGAAAAAGTTAAAACGAAACAGCATTGGACTGATGGGTCGTGGTAACAGCCAATATCTTCTTCCTCTACATTAGTGAATTGTAATTTTAACCAAAAGCTACAAACACATTTCTCACTGCCAGGTGACATATTATGAGATCATATAGTCAGTCTTTACCTGAGGGTTAGAGTTCACCAGCTGAACCACCAATTGAGAGACCAGAGTCAGGGCAGCACAGTGGAGCTCCACACTGAAACACAAAATCAAACACCTGATACCAGCTTCCAAATGTCTAAGAATAACTGTGTTAGTTTATTTTTAATGTCTGTACTGGAAGTCAGGCCTCTCCTCTGTTGCTCTTTCTAAGACCTCTCCTTTTTTTCATGATTAATGTTTCAACCCATAACAAGGGTCTAACAAATGTACAACCATTGGAGGAGGCAAATTAGTAATTTAAGAGTATAACTGACTTTCATGTTTATCCTAGTGGATCCCCTTCACTCTCATTTGGGGTCCTTAGACAGTGGTGCTGGGGAGATCACCGTTGCCCTGATACAATCACTCCCCCCAGCTAAAAAAAATTCGAAAATGATTAGTCCTCTGCATGGTAAACTCGAGAAGGCTAGTTCCCGGTAAATGTTTTGTTCCTTACAATTAACGTGCCTTTTTAAGAAAAACCAGCCTATCTGAATAACAATGAATCGCCTAATTATTATTTGTATATACAGATACATACCACATTGGAAAGGGATTGTCGTGGAACTCAAAATGTTAACAGTAACAGTATTAGTCTGTGGACATCAGGTCATTTGTAACATTTAGAGCTGCACCCAACTGAGAATTAAGTCAGTCGAACTAGACTTGGCTGTTCAATGCAAATATTGAACTATGCATTCCTTTTTTCCATACAGAATTCAAATGGTGTTCGGCAGACTTTCAGGGTGACAGTGACATCCGTGTAATAAAGTAAACGAGCTAACTACGCTAACGACGGATCAGAAATGTGACCCTAGATATCACACAAAAGCCAGAGACTGTGTTGTAATAAGTTGGTGTGGGCTGTAAATGTAACACTCCTATGCAGAAGGCAGAAGATAACGTTAACTTGGAACATGACCAGGCAAAGCCTCTCCTCCTCTAGGCAGCTGCCTTTGTGTCTGCAGCTGCCTGTACAAAGGAGCAATGTGAAAGCGGGGAGCGCCTACTCTGTAGCTAAATCTGGGGACTGAAACATTCCCAGAAGTACACTGCACACTGAATGGCAAATTAACAAACAAACAAAAAAAGACAGCTTGACTTGAAGGAATCTCAAGCGTCAAGAAACTGATGGGTCTCTGATTGATGATCCAAATCTCAGACTTTCAGTGGGCATTGCTAGTAACATTAACTATAAAATAAGAAACTAAAGAATATCAGTATACGACACCTTAACTCTCATAGTGACATAGTTTTCAACTAGCCTATATGCTTCAACTGCTTTATCTAATTCCTGAAATTCATAAGTTTTAGTTTTTTGTGTGCTACTCCAAGATTCGCAGTGGCCCCATCTGACCACCCCTGTTAAAAATATCAGGGAGCACCACTGCTTAGAAGCACAGAAGGTGAGTAATGTTTTTTCTATCATTTTGAATGAACCAGCCCTTTAATTTTACATAGCGCAGTGAAAGGATCTGAAAATGCTAATGCACTCCTCAGGTCATTCTGTGGAAGCCGTTACGTGCACATAACACCCCTGCACCATCGACTACACACACATCACTCAACTGTATTGACTTACAATTCACAAAAGAAGTGTGCTGGTACTCACCACTACATTATGGATCACAATAGCCCGAGTGCCATTCAATCACACGGCAGACAAGGGCAGCCAGCAACCCAATCTCATCCCTCCCCGGCTCTAATCATAACCCTGGGGCCGCTCCAAAGGGAAAGTGGATCCCCGGGTCCAGAGATTGTGGCCAGGAAAAGGCTTTACAGGGCTAAAAGCCTTTGTAATCCAATCCTTATTCAGGCCTGTATTCTCTTGTCGGGGTGAGAAAAGTACAGCAGTGGCTTGTCAAAGAAGGTGTGTGTGTCTGTCAATGCATGTCAAAGGGCTTACAGTGTACGCACACACACAAATACTGGAACACTACGTGCCAAGTCAGTTTGTGGTGAGAGGGGGGCAGTGTTTCTCATAAACTCTCACAAAAATAATGGTTTGAGTCTGACAGGTGTGAATAATCTAATGTAGGAATAATGAGCTAATGGCAGCCTGTGAGAGCACAAATATCAGCTTTCATCTACGTTTTTTTAACTTTTCAAAATTACCAGTCTCTGTTGCTGTTGGACAGTTTGGTTACCTGAATACAGCAACATTATAAAAGCAACCACACAAACACCCATGCAGAAAGGGGTCAGTAAATTCCAGGTGTGCCCAGGTGCAGCCAGTGAACCTGTGTGTCCCTCCTCCACGGACTCTGGCTCTGAATGAAGGCTTGACAGCCAGCCTTCCACTGCAGCGTGAGGGCTCTTTCACAAGAGGACGGAGCCAGAAAAACACAGGGAAATGGAGGAGGAGGAGTGTGTGGTTGCATCTTGCCATGCAGTACAGTCATGTCTCTTCCATCCATCACAGCTAAAAGCTTGTTTAGGGACTTGTTTTGACAGCGAGTTTTCAGGAGGGAGCAAGCGTTCTGGAGACATTCAGTTGCCTCCCATTTCCTGTATTTCCCTTAAAATGAATTAAGCATTGGCCTGTTGTGTGCTGTGGAGCACAGAGATCAGGGCCAATGTAAAGATATAAAGATATAATGCGACATCCAGCAAACACAATCCAACCGTTTTCTGAACACAAACACATCTTAAAAATAGAAACATAGTATTTCCAATGCAGTCTCACAATTTTTTAGCCATTTTATTAGTGTGGCTCTGGTGGTGCTCTTTCTGTTGGTTCCCTGGACTTTTCCTCTGGCACCACCATTTTGTTTTTTAGTGTGAAATATCTCAAGAACATTTGGATGGATTGCCATGAAGTTTGTAAATATATCCATGTTGCACAGAGGATGATAAAAATAACTCTGGGAATTGCTTTTATCTAGCATCAGGTACAAAAATAAGTATGTCCTGTACTTTGGTTTATGACCAAATATCTGCACAACCAATGACGCTTCCATCAGCCTCAGCTGTGCTTTGTATTTAGTGCTAATTAGCAAATATGTGCATGCTAACACCCTAAACTAAGTTGGTGAACATGATAAACATTGAACCTGCTAAACATCAGCATGTTTGCATTGTTCTTACGAGCATACTGATGTAAGCATTTACTTCAAAGCACCACTGTTCCAAAGTACAGCCTCACAGAGCTGCTAGCATGGCTGCAGACCAGAGATACTCCACTTGCTTTGCCCAGGGGCCACTTTGCAAAACAGGAGGCCAGGGGCCAGTTAATGAACAAACATATTTACTAATTATCAGTAAATACAATAAATGAACTGCCTGTTTTCAATTCTCTCGATGTCTGTTGTCCTCACTAATCTTTGCTAAGAAGCAAATCCAGTTACAGCCCTGCGCATGTCAAGTGTACGCAGGGGTGTTTCTAGGATCTGAGGACATTTGGGGCCTCTCATGGCACTTGATAAACAAGGTCTATTTGTTGCACTCTGGCACCTTATTTATGTTGAAGATACCAAAAAAAAAAATAATACAAGTGTGAATAAATCTAATAAAAGGCATAAAAATCCACCCAAAAAGGTGAAAAGGATAGATCAGTGGGAATTATAAAAACAATTATGTAGAAATCCTGAAGTCCTTTCAATTTTTATGACACATTCAACAGTTTCGTAGAACTGTGACCCTGTTTTATTCTCTTACCCAGACTGTGACTTTCGTAGTTTAATAGCTGTATAAAGATAACCAATTTTAAGGTGGTTTGATACAAAATCCCACAGTATTATCTGTCTGATTTTGGGGGGCGGGATATGACATTTTATGTATCATACTTTTTTGATCCTTCTCTTAAAGTAACTGTGTAATCACTTGGCCCAAACAGAGGTAACAGAGCTTCACATTAAGGATGATGTAAAGAACTATTTATGGAATGTATATGAGTCTTCTCTGACCTGTGGGTAGAATTCTGAGCCAGAGCAAGAAGGTGCAGCAGGAGCTCCTCCTGAGACAAAGTCTTTACATCATCCCTCCAATCGAGCTCACTGCTGGAGCTCAACACACACAACACCGTGAGGACCTGAGAGGAGGAAACAGAGGCAGAGACAAAGGGATTGTCAGAGGAGTAAGAGATGAGATATTAATGTTGTCACAGATACACACACAGACACACAGACACACACACACACAGAGCTACTGGTGAGGGAAGTTGCTCAGGGCCATCCATCAACACAGCTTTGGTGTCCTCTCTGCAGTGCGGCTGGCAAGTTGCCCTGTGGGTATTTTTACCACACCGGTCAGATCCTCCCTACGCACACCCAAACCACGGGTACACAGCTGCCTCGCTCTCTCTTTCACACACACTGCACACAAATATATTCACGAATACGGATGCACAAGCACGTGCATGCACACAAAGATGTGCACAATTGCAGGCAAGCTTTCATCTACTCAAACAGTAATATGTTCCTAGTCCTTTGTCCACTCTGAGCATCCATTCAGCTTAACCTCCAAAACCTGATTTTCTGCTCCCTTTACCAATCGCTGCTCCCCCCCTCCTCTCCATCCTTCCCATGCTGTTTTCTTTGCCCGGTCACTCCTCCAGAAGGGGAGGCAGCTGACCGAGTCAGAGGAGGAAAAGACTAGTTTTCCACTGCGTGAGACCCCGTTAAAAACACACATCCAGCCGAGAACACATGTTGACATTCCTGCTGCATATCTCAATGATTATTATTTCTTTCAAGGCCCCAACCTGTTATTAGAGCTTTAAAATAAAGCCTGCTTTATAGGATCTGTGTGGGTGGAGAGCAAGGCGAATGGGCACATGCAATCTCTGTGTGTATGTGTGTGTGACTGTATATTTGTGCATGTGAGCAGTAAAAAGATAAGTTAGCAAGGTAGACCTCCTCGCTGCTAGTCTGTCGTTCTGACCGACTTTGACTGATCTGATAGGTCAGTCGATCAAAAATGAATCATCATTAGGTTTAAGAAAAAAGTGCCATACAACAGATTTAAAATAATTACCGTTTAAAGAAATTTAAACATATACGTATATATGTAAATAATTCAACAGATAACACAAGCCAATTGTACAGGATTTAGAAGTTGTTGTGAATTTTAAAGTTATACTTATCATTTCTTTGAATAAACAATGGACCCAATGTCTATGTGTAATATGAATGGGGCTGTTAATAGTTACAAACTAACAAAGAATTATCAACCAACTTTTTTAAGGTCTTCATTTTGGTTCTTGGGCCTACAGTTTCCAATTTCAACAACCTTATTTCAGAAAAATAAACTCTGATAAACTAACTGTAAGCTACCCAAAATACACATTTTCCCACCAAAATTTGCACATATATGTGGGTTTTTTTAAACAGGGGAAAACAAACAGATAATAAGTAATAGACTCCTTTCCAACTGGCAGTAGACGACTATGCCTTTCTGATTTTTTTTCTACATTTGTGTCACATTCAACATCACAAATGCCCTGGGAAACAGGTTAGCAAAAAGTAGAAAGCAGCATGGAGGCCAGTGAAAATGTTGCGGTGGTTACTCTTTTTTTTTTTTACATCTGTTATTTATTCAGTCTCTCTTTCAAACTTGGTGCCAACTCATTACGAAACAATGTTCGAGTGCTGCTTAGATGGGGAAATATGGTAATTTGTGGCTGAGAAGATAAAAAGTCGCAAAATTTACAGATGATTGTGCTGGAAAAGGGGCAAATATTAGCACGTCCACTCAGGAGTAATGTTTCTGTTACTGCTGATCAAAGCTGGAGCTGATAAATACCCGTGACTACTGCAGAGTAATTTGTCCTAGGAATGAATGCCGATTGTAACCTTTCCCACTAAAGACAAAAGCAAGATGTTCAGTGGGTTTTTTGGGCCTACTGTATAGTGGAGCATTTAGTGGCTAAAAAGACAGGTATTTTATAATAGTTAAACCAGATCAGGCCCAAAAGTTGAGTGAATATTGGACTTATTTGTGATGGGCCAGAAGCATAAATAAAAACCATTGCTCATTTTGCTCCATGGCTGCTGATGTATAAATAGGCATTTGTCTTCTTAAAGGTTTGCTGTAACCTCTTTATGTGATATAATGTCACTGCTTTCAGTTTCCATTCATGCAGCTTTAAGCATCTTACAAATTCACTGGCTCAGGAGAGTTGGCTTATAATCAGAAATCCTGACAATAGTACATACTGTACACAGCGTTAATGTCATCCATTTTTCATACTGTTGGAGACAAGTCATTTGGAAATGTTCTAATGCAACAACAAGCAGTGTCCAATAACCACAGCAGCCCATTACACCGGTGGTGGTTAGAGTATTAAGTGTATTTTTTAGACAATATTTCACAAAGTCCATTGGCTCTTCTCAACTCCAGTGAGAGTGAATCAATCATTGGGCCCCTAATGCCAACTCAGTGTCATTATTCATATGCCTGCTTCATTTCTCTTGCTTCATTGCATCAATGAAAAACTTACAGTTTAATTCCCAGCTATTGCCTCTGTGTGTTTCTCACTTCTCATCCACCAGTCTGTCTGCCAGGTATTCAACTGCTACCCCACTGCAGCTGCTCTGACCATCTCTGCTGCTTCTGACTTTAACAACCTGCTTTAATGAGCTCCCGTCTTGCAACACACTCGACTGCCCACATACTCAAATATACAGAGTCACAGGAAAACATGCCAACTCAGGCGTAGACGCGTACGAACATTCATGGCTGTAACATGCAAATAAACAGTGACGCCCACCCTGCATGAACAGACACACACACACACACACACACACACACACACACAAAGTTATAAAAGTTAGCCAGCTTGCACAGCCGTGTTGTCTAGCCCTTTTTCTGTCAGTCTTTCGAGCCTCGAAAGCCCCGAGGTGTTGCTGCCTTTCACTGGTATTTACTGGCATCTTGGGTCAAAGCAGATCCAATGCCAAACCATCAAAGAAATTCTGACCAAAGAGAAATACTGCCAGATTAAATTTCACTACATGACTTTTATTTTGTCAAAAATTCATAGTGTATCCAAACCCCAAATTGCCTATCGTGTGTGTAAAGAAATAAAAAAATAATTCACAGCGTAGAGACCTGATGACATCACCTGCTCCTCATGCCATGGCTCAATAGACTAAGACAGTTGCTGTCACAATATCATCACCCAATCTTTTCTACTAGCCTCCTCCTAGACATCACATTTGTGAATGGAATCGTGGCAGACAGCATAAGATTTGACTCACAAAACCAAAAGATGACTATCTGCACTGCTTTATTTAAGATTCAGCAAAACAAAACTTTCAATACCCAGAAATAAAAAACAGACTGCATGCTGCAAGTCAGCATATTTGTCTGCACGCAGTTCTCATTTGTTAAGCTTTGATGCCACGAGTCTTCCAGACAGCCACACTTGCTGTCCTGAACACTAAAGTGAATGTTCATGTGCTATTAGGAAGTAAGCAAGTGTGTCCGAGATCTGATAAATACCAACAACAGTCACTTAACCCACATCCTAATACCACAGTTTTCATGATTCATCATGGTCGACTTTGCAACAGCAGTCCAGTTGATGGTGGTACTGTGCCTATATACTGGTTTTAAGACCAACAACATGAAAAAGTTGATGATATAATGGATTCAGCACAAATATTGTTATTAATATCCAAACACACCAGTTAGTCCTCATCCTAAAAACATTTTCTCTTGTAAAATTACAAGTGAAACACACTGAAAATATGAACAATTATTGATTTTACCTTTTTATTAGGACTAACTAGATCTATACTGCAATATAAGAACCCTGCTGTGTCTGTATTACCATGTCTTCTACATGGATCATCAACTGGCGAGGATGCTGACTTTTTGTTGCCTGCCACATGTAGCATGTAGTTGCTACAGATATCCTTTCAGTTAGAAAAAATCAGTCAGCTAGAAATGAGAAGTTGCTCTGTCTCTCTCTGATATCAGGAAGCCATTATTTCAAATATTACTACAGCCTGCATACACCTGGTATTTACATGCATCTTGGGTGATCGATCACATGTGAACAGCTCTTAGTTGGTCTGTTTACACGCTGCATTACATTGTGTCTTCAAATGTGTCTTGAGCGACCATGTGTGATCAGATCTTACTTCTCCGCTGTAAGTGCAAACAAACACGTTATTTCTGTTTGCAGAGATCAAATGTGTTGTTATAATTAACCGACAAAAGGCTGTTGTACTACATGCACACTTCAGTGCCAGTCGCTAAGAGACCACTGCTGCTGGAATGTGAACTCCGTGCAGTGACAGGGCTAACTGTTAGCATCACATAGCTACCATTACCTAATGGTTATTAATGGTTTAAATGACAGAATTGAGCCATTTTGATGTTTTTATGACAGTCCAGTGTGGGAGACCGTGTTTCAGTGCTGCGTCTAACCTATGTAATGGCAGCAACAGAAAGTTTGCTTATCAGGCAGAGAGTTAAATAGGATGTCTGCTGAGTCGGTGGTCCTTCAGTGTGGCCCACATTAGCGTACACACTGCTGAGAGAATGTGGCCATATGTGGCCCAGACCACCTCGGAATGTGGTCTTAATGGTCGGATGTCAAGATGGATTGAGGACAGGGCCTAAAAATTTGGAGTGGTAAGTCTGCTGCCATCACCCTGTCATTGTAAACTGCATTTTTGCTAAACAGGCGAAGGAACAGTTAATTGTGCACCCTGATGTATGTGCTTTTAGATTGCCCATCACTCCTTGATTGTGCATTTGATTTTCACTGTCATTTGACTGTAATGCTGCATGGTTGATCCTATCTACCTGTTCTTTACTATTTGGGAGAAATAAAACAAAACCATCAAAGCATCTCCATGTATTTGTATTTGCAAATAACAGGATGTCCTCATTAATCCAGAGCACCCCAGTGTGCACCTATGGTCCTGACAAGCACTTGGTCACTGTTAGCAGTTACCTGAAATATGTTACACAAGTAAACACTTATTCACAAGCATATACCTCAAGTGTGAGTATTTTGTCGGATCCCATGCATCATTTCTGAATTTAATTTATAGTTGTTTTTTTTTTTTTTAGGAATTAAAAGGAGTGTTTCTGTGGCATCTCTAGTCAGATGAAACAGAAATTTCACAATTTACAGTAAAGAACACACAGTACGTTTACATGCACAGCTTAAACAAGCTATGCTCAAAATTCGATTTTAGCGTCTAATCGGACTTCTGTCCTTGTCCCAGTTTACATGCAACTGAGAAAATCTAATTACTGAGGGGAACGTGTCCACCTCCTCAACACTAGGTGGCAATATGCGTCGTTTCAGCGAGTTAATACGGCTCCCTTTCCGGTTGACCTATTACGTCACTTAATAATAAACAACTGGAGTCAGGTGGCAGACCGGCATTTTCGAACAACAGCAAGATAGATAATCGTACAGCTTTGTTCATCTCGTACGTAATGTACGCGTTACTGATTGTGCAGATAAGGTGCACGCTATCCCTCGTGGTCATGGTGATTTCGAGAGGCAGACAAGAACGCTGTATGCTGTTGGAGGGCTACAATAGCATGTCTTGTCTGTTCCGGGGTCATACACCAGCGCGGGGGGTGTGGAGCATGCGCACATGCATTGTCTAGTTTAACTCCGATTAAGGCGTATACATGCCAGAGAAAATCGAATTCTAATCGCATTATCTGGGTGTCTTAATCTGAGTTGGAGAACACCGATATTAGTCGGAGTAACGCGTTTACATGCACTTTAGTTGTCCAGTTGTAGTCGGATTAAGGCAATAATTCATTTTTTTCAAGTGTCATGTAAACGTACTGACAGACTGTGAGAGACCCTAAAAAGTTTTTACATTTCAGAGTGTGACCAGTTATACTTTCAGGACCATTCGGCTATCATCTTTCTATTTGAGTCCTCTAATGCAGGAGATTCATGTCATAAATAAGGACTGAGGATGACAGACTTCTTCAGACATTGGAAGCATCATTACTGGGCAGAACAGCAGACTAATACTGTGTCCTTGGCCTACTGCTGCTCCTGCTCCTCTCCCAGAATGCTTCAGTGGAGTCCTTGACAAGCTATGGCAACTGGCCCGTTGGGTTGGCGTGTCCTTGGCGCAGGGGAGGCTCCACTTAACGGGCCGACACTTTAAACATTAACGGCTGGCCTGTAAAGCAGCGCCTGGCAAAGAATGCACAACCAAACACATACAAAAAAACAAAAAGCTAAAACACAACAAATATAAAACACACGCAAATCTGCAGCAGCGTGGAAACACACATACAGTACAGCCAGTCAGTCCCAGCAGTGCTGAGTCATGTCAGCTCTGGAGGAGTGTTAACGACAGGAGCAACAGAGCAGGACAGAGCAGACCTGCTGGCCTAACTTTATGAACACACTGAAATACAACCTTCTGTCCCCAAACAGGAAATAGGCTGCGTTTTCCCCTCCAAAACTTGTTAAGAGTGGAAGCCTACCAAACCTCTCATGAGTGTGTGTAAGTGAGCGAGTCAGCTCACTGCCAGTATGCTTGGCGTGTCCCCCTGCGGCCGATTAGCCTCTCACGCAAGCCTCTGCAAGATGGATTTGGACATTTAATCAATTTGCAGCAAATGTCCCTGTGGTTCAGTGAAACTGTGATGAATAGGAAAAACATATTTTTTGGAAAGGGTTCCACATTGTATGCTGACAGGACTATGAAATGATGCTGCCCATGGCCCGTCACAGACTTGTACACATGCGTATGAACAAGGGATTATACAAACACACACTCACATCCATAAAATGACTAGACACATATACAGGCTCTCAAACAAACACACAACAAACAAATGCACCTCATATAATGTTTTTGTGTGTGTGGTCTCACCTTGGCCAGACACTGGGGGTGTGTCTCTTGAAGAGCCAGGCTGATCAGGTTAGACAGGGTGGTCTCGTCCAGCCACTGAGGTCTCTTCGTCTTATCCTCCTCCTCCTGCAGCCACTTCAGGACCCCCGCCAGTGCCAGCTCCCTCACCTCGTACTGTGGACACTGCAGCAAACACTGCAGGAGGTGGCTCATGAGCTGAAGCCCCCCCCAGAGCTCAGGGATCTCCACGCTGGCGCTAAGGGCCATCCGAGCCAGGCTGAGCAGGTACTGGGTGCTGCCGGGCCCCAGGGTGGTAGAGGAAGTGTCTGTGGTGATGAGGTCTGAGGCCATCAGGGTGGACATGGCTTCCTGACGGAGACCACTGACCTCTGAATCTGAGAAACAAGCAAATCTTTATGTTAGCTGCAAAGTGGGATGAGGACATACTGTTTGGGTGGTTATTTATATGATATTTTAAATGACATTGGCAGATTTTTTTTTTCATATCTGAGGATCTGAAGATTTAATGTGTAACATTACCACTTTAAAATGCTGAAAAATGACTATACCTGTGTTGTACATTTTGTTGAATTGTGTACTTAAATCATCCCAAAAATGTTAAAAGAGAGAAATCTGTACTCTCACACAAGAAACAGTGGGTTTCATTTGGTCGCCTGTTAGTAGCGTCATATCTCCTTTATTCCTTCTAGTTGCTAAACTAGAATTTTACTTAATAACAGTACTGCAACATTTCTCTGCCACACAGTTCATTTCATCATCTGCATGACATCTTGCAACACAGTAACCCAGTTTAGATCAAACTTATTGATATGACATTTCAATATCTATACAGCTTACTACGATGTGCTAATATGACAAGCAGCTCATGCCAGATGGTAACGTTATATGTTACAATAAAGTCTTTGTCTCGTTGTGTGACTTTGGTGTTTTAAAATGTTAGTTCGGACACAACAAAGTCACATAACAGACTAACCGAGCAAAGCAGCAGCTCCCATGTCCTGCAAGGTAGAATTACTGTTTCTGTCAATGGAGTTTGGTGACTTTGAAGAGAGAATAGATGAGTTGGTTAAAGCAGTGAAAATATTTTTAACATAGCGTATACTTGAACTGATATAGATTACTTTGGTGGGCCTTTTTTCAGGTGGCTAAAGTACGCTTAGCTGCTGCCCACTTGAAGCCATTATATTGCGCTCTTGAAAGTCACCAAGCTTCATTGACAGAAACAGTAATTTTACCTCGCAGAACACAGGAGCCACTGGTGTACCGCTGCCTTGGTCAGTTGTGCTATTGTGTGACTTGCTATGACCATGGATAACAGCACGGATTGAATTTGCCACATAGTGTTAGCTACAGTAGCTGTAGCCTACAGTGTGTGGGTAGTTGACTAATCTAATGCTGATGGTAAGTTAGCAAGTTTACTTACAGCTATTTCATTAAAAAAAGAAATGACTAAATGTGAATAAACATGACAAATGTAACATAAATAAAACTTTAATCCATGATAGATTTTCATCGACAATGGTGGTTGTACAAAGACTGAGAAACTGTTCTTTATGGCTGTTAAACTCCCATGATGCCATGCTATTTCATGACACCATCAAAGTCCTCTCTTGTTATTTTAAGATACTTTTTAGAGGCCCTGCTATGCATTAATATTGACAATGTTATTTTAGCATTCTTCTGTTGATATCATACAGCATTTCTTTTAAATCTGGTTTATGTTGATATCATAGACTGTATATTTTACAGTATCCACTCAGTTGGAATGGCAATCTAACATGTCAGTGTCATGTTTGAGTTGAGTTACAAATGCAATCTCACTCTAGGTCGGACAGACATAATATTTCCCTAACATTTCCAACATGGCACATGTGTGAAGCGAATGGCGTAACATTAACGTAAGGCTGCAGCAGAACAAGTTTACACAGAGATAATTTGCATTTTGGCCTACCTTCTAGGAAAACTGTAATAAATCGTCTCTGTTCCCAGTTAGGATTAATAAAGTTTTGGCTCATTTTGACTCCATTATGCTTGGCCATGTACATTCAAAAAATTGTACCAAGTTTATTGAAATATTCTCGGTGGCTTAATTTCTTTAGACGTATCCAGTCCAACCTCTCTGCAAGTTAAACAAACAGACACACAGCCCTTTGTGAAGCAAACAGATGCAGACAACAGGCCAGACTGAAGAAGCCAGTCTCCTCTGTTCCTTTCTATTTTCACTTTTATAGGAAAGGCTGCGTCAGTGTCTGTTTGGAAATGCCCAAGGCTGTGCCAACCCAGCCACCTGTGAACATACACCCTTGGGGAGTGATGGACACACAAATAAACACACACATGCACACACATGCATGCACTTCCTCTGAAATATAAGTATAATCCAGAGGCAGGGCAACTATAGAGTAACCCAATGCCATTCTAAAGCTGCGCTCCTCCCTACAGTATTGCTCCAAGACTCCACACAGACCCTGCTTTGACAGCCAACTCAATTAGTTTAACGCGCACACACACACACACACACACACACACACACACACACACACACACACAAAGCTTATGAAACCTGGTGCAACTCAATCTGGCCCTGCAGCGCCACTCAAAACGTGGCCTGACAAAAGAGCGGGAAATGCCGCATTCCTCCAGAGATGGGCCGGGTTACCGTGGAGAGGGGCCAGGTTACTATGGAACATGATCCTCAAAGGGGGGTCCGGGGCCAAATAAGCATACCTTAATGGTTATAATGGGGGGTAGGGGCACAGTAATGACACCGATGATGAAGGGAGGAGAGAGAGGAGGATGACTGAAGGAGAATGGGAGTGTGTCAAAGAGAAAACGGCTGTCTGTCACGGTGAGGTAGAGGGAAGCATGTAGGGTGTATGTGTGTCAAAGGGTTGTAGAGACAGCATGCTACCATTAGCTTGTCACAAAACAATACATTCAAATATAGTGCCTTCTATGTTTATAGTGTACTGGGATTTTATGGTGTTTAAAACTGTACATTTTTAATAACATTGTAGGCCTACATGTAAAAGCCTAAGGTAAGGTAGCGAGAAAGAAAGGTAGAAAGAAAAAAGAAAAAAAGTAAGGTAGAGAGAAGGTAAGGCCGAAATAAAGACAAGGTAAGAGAAAGAAAGAAAGAAAGAACGAAAGGTAGAAAGAAAGAAAGTAGGGGCAGAAAAAACAAAAGTATGGTAGCAAAAGTAAGGTAGAAAGAAAAAAGTAAGGTAGAGAGAAAGTAAGATTGATAGAAAGAAGTAAGGTAGGCAGAAAGAAAGTAAGGTAGAAATAAAGTAAGGTAGACAGAAAGAAAGGTAGGCAGAAAAAGTAAGGTAGAAATAAAGGCAGTAAGGTGGTAAGAAAGAAAGGTAGAAAGAAAAAAGCAGAAAGACAGAAAGTAAGGTAGAAATAAAGACAGTGAGGTGGTAAGAAAGAAAGGTACAGTAAGAGAACGAGAGGCAGAAAGAAAGAAAGTAAAGGCAGAAAAAAGTAAGGTAGAAAGATAGTAACAGAGAAATAGTAACAGAGAGAAAGTAAGGTAGTAAAAAGTATGGTAGAAAGAAAGAAAGAAAGAAACTGGGGAGAAAAAAAGATGAAACCCATCAAATGAGGGAGGAAATAAGAGAGTAAGAAAGAGAAAGAGGAAAACATCATTAGTCAGGATGCAAAGCTGTTTTTTATGATGGTCTTTATTAAAATAGTGTGTGTGTAGGAGGGTGTGTGTGTTGGGGGGGTATTCAGGCATTCCCTCAGCAAATGAAAGGCGTTCCTGTGAGGGCCATTTCAATGTGAATTTTTCATGTCTGATCATAAACAGCCATTGTTCTCCAACAGCTGTGTTTATTTAAATCCGTGTATACAACACTTGTGTCTCTTAATGCTTCTCGTGTGCAAACCTGCACCTGGACCGTGTCCAGACTCCATTAAGTTGTGATTACTATTTGATATTTCGGGATACTCTGGGATGAGGCCTGGCTCAGTGGATTACAGTGCCAGCAAAGCATTGAGATCTTGTGTGTTAATAGATGTTGGTGTAGGTGCAGGTCTCAGTGGGGAGTTAACATGTGCTGATCTAAATGCTGCTAAAATCACAGCTGAACAATAAACCCCATGTACTTAAACATACTACATTAAATTTAATTTAACTTTCATTATAAATCCCTTATGATACCCTTGATTGCAAAGTCCTACGGTTCATGAGATTTTGTGGGTAAGGAAACAGCCTACAGTATATTAATATCTTTCTCCTTGTTTTTTTTTTTTTGTTCAGCACTGTAAGCACACGTAAAATGTGACAGATGGTTCTTGTTATAGGCTAACTGTTCAGCCCCGTCTCCACTGTAATTGGACAGCTGGGTAAAAAGTGATAGTAATAAGTGCAGCATTTTACCCAAAGTTGAACATTTTTCAGTTTTCAGCTACCAGTAAAAACACCAAACGTGCAGCACTCAAAATAGATGCCCAGCACCTCACCACGCTACTGGTTTTTTAGTGGAGACTAAATATATAGTGCTCCCATTCAAAGAATTTAAAAAACACCCTGGCCTCAGGAGAAACACTATCAATTTTGACAAGTTAAGGTGGAGCTGTTAGCTGTTATGCTCCCCTCAGGATGAACCGTAAAACTGTTGGTGATGCCCTGACTTCTTATCTAGCACTGTTATACAACATCTATTGAGAGAATGATACCAGAAACAGAATGAAACAGAAACTTAAAACTGCCTGTTTTGCCTTCCCAACAGTCCAGAATAAAAAAAAAATAGAGAAAAACATTAAATCTTCAGTTTACGTGTAATCAAAATAATTGCCAAATTATTTTCAGTCAATAGACTAATGGATAAATCATTTCAGCTGTACTTTGCTTTGTGACCAAATACCTGGAGAACTAATGATACTACACTTAGTCTCAGCTGCTTTGTATTCAATGACCAAATTTGGCATGCTATCACACTAAACTTCGATCACGAACATGGTAACGTTGTGTGTGCGATGTTCAGAGCATTAATGTAGCATCAAACCACTGTTTGCTGCTAAGTTATAGTGGAGTAATGGCATCCTTATCAGAGAATTAAATCACACTAACTCTGTGTGTGTTAGTATTCAAGCTTTTCTGTGGTTTGTTGTGGTGGTAAGCCAGTCCGGTTGCGCGTACATGTTAGTTCATGTGTGTATTCCACTGGCTAGCTCATCATCACCACTTTGCTCTGCCTTATAAAGCAGTTATTACTGACATCAGTCGTTGCTGTGGAAGCATAGCGCCCACCCTCTGGTTCCCCCCGGTTAACACTGTTAGCTCTATCAGCACTGTTGCTATTGTTTAGTGCTGTTTATGGAGTGTGTGCATGCAGCTGTCATGTTTTAGTTGAGAAACATGAGC